CTCTCTCTCTCTCTCTCTCTCTCTCTCTCTCTCTCTCTCTCTCTCTCTCTCTCTCTCTCTCTCTCTCTCTCTCTCTCTCTCTCTCTCTCGCAGAGACACACACAAACACTACTCAAGTGGGAAGTTGGTGAGGCCCGTCAGATGCAAACCATGTCTGGGCGGGGAAAGAACGTGAACTTGAAGAAGGGGGTCTCCCGCTCATCGAAAGCGGGCCTGCAGTTTCCAGTTGGGAGGATTGCTCGTTTTCTGAAGTCCGCCAAGTACGCGGAGCGTGTGGGAGCAGGGGCACCAGTCTACTTGGCAGCTGTGCTGGAGTTCTTAGCGGCAGAACTGCTGGAACTGGCAGGAAATGCCTCAAGGGATAACAAGAAGACAAGGATCGTTCCTCGTCATATCCAACTGGCCGTGCGCAACGACGAAGAGCTGAGCAAGCTGCTTGGAGGCGTTACTATTCCAACGGGAGGTGTCCTCCCCAACATCCACTCCGTCCTCCTCCCTCGACGCAACATGGGACTACCTTCTTCCTCCTCCTCGACTAAGGCGGAGGACATGGATTCCAACCCTCCATCTATGGGAGAACCCACTTTATCCAACTGATCTTGGGTCTCTCCCACTCACTCAACTACCATTCCTGTCTCTTATACACATCTAGATGTGTATAAGAGACAGGTATGGGCCTTGCTCCGCTACCCAACACTCTATATGAATTTGGAAACTTTCTGGTCTAGGTGCATTTGGACGAGCCCAACATTTTGAATGTACCTGGTACGGAAATCGTCCAAATGCATGGAGAGTGTTGTGTAGTGGATCCAGGCTCATTGCTTTGAGTCTTTGGGAGCAAAGACCACCATCGTATCAACTTTACCCCTTCAGAAAGGGGAAACTAAGTGGGAGTCACAAAAACGAGGGTTATAATTGCACTATGGTGGCCAAAGATACAGTTTGCAATTGCAGTTCAGGCAATGTATACAACCCAGCTTTCTGCCCAGGTGGGGTGCCCGAACTGCGAATGCAAACTGTATCTTGGCCCACCACCATAGTGCAATTATAACCCTCGTTTTTGTGACTCCCGCGTAGTTACCCCGTTTCCCCGAAAATGTGCTATCTTCCCTGAGGACACTTGTTTCACTACTGCCCTGGGCGACCGTGCGATGTGCGTGACTGTGATCGAGCAACCTGCCTCTCTTGTGTCCGATCCAAATGCTGCTGCTGTCGTTCCTGTGCAGATTCCGAAGGAGGTCGCTCCTGAGACCGAGTGTCATGTGGTCGATCCTGAGGGCGATTATCCAACAACGCACGCTCTTGAGCAGCTCGCTCTTGCGCCTGTTGTTCGCGCATCCTCCTCCTGATCTCTTTCTTCTTCCTGACAATCTCTGCGTAAAGACGGTCCCTGTACTCCTGGATGGAGTACTTGGTGTTATCATCGATCGGTATAGTTATCGTCCGGTCGCACACTGGCTCGTCGGTCGGATTATGGAATTGTGCGACGTAAGGATGCCTCAGTGCTTCCTCTGCCGTGATCCGCTTCGCCGGATTGAACTGCAGAAGCCGTCGAAGAAGGTCCTCCGCCTCAGGTGACGCGCTCGGAAACAGCTCCGAGAAGGTCTTTGGCTGGGCAACAGGCAGGCTGTCTAGCATGGTGCCTGCAAACGGCGACTCTATGGCCTCGACGTCTTCCAGGCTGGGCCGCCCTACTAGCTCCAAAACCTTATCTAGTTGATTCATCGTCGAGGTCCCCGGAAACAGGGGCTTACCCCCAAGGAGCTCTCCCAAAATGCACCCACTCGACCACATGTCTACCCCATATGTGTACTTGGTTGACCCCAACAGAATTTCCGGAGCCCGGTACCACCTGGTCGCCACGTAGTCAGTCAGAACAGGACTTGGGCCAGTCTCATTCTTCAGCTGCGAAACGGACCTCGCAAGGCCAAAATCCGCGACTTTGACTTGGCACTCGGAGTTGAGCAACAGGTTGCTAGGCTTGATGTCGCGATGAAGAAGCTCGGCAGAGTGCATGTACTTGAGGCACTTGAAGAGTTGGTACATGGTGTATTGTTTATGGATCTCTTCTAGAATGTTCGCACGTATCACGGCATGAAGATCTGTTTCCATGTACTCAAACACAAGATAGATATCGCGGTCGTTTTCCGCCTTCAGCACATTGTACAACCGTATGATGTTCTCATGATTGCTGAGTTCCTGGAGGAACATTACTTCCCTGAAAGTTCGCTGAGCATCCGTGGCATTCTGGAAAGCATCGAAGATCTTCTTAACAGCTACCGTTTCCCTCGTCTTCTTGTCGATCGCCTTCCACACAATCCCATATGCCCCTTTTCCAAGCTTATGGCTGATCTCGTACTTCCTCAACACGTGCTTGTCAATCTCCTCGCTCATCTTGATCCTCTCTCTCTCTCTCTCTCTCTCTCTCTCTCTCTCTCTCTCTCTC